CAGGGTGACCTAAAACTAGAACCTGAAATATCTTTCTTTTTCAATTTCGTTTTTAATATTCTAATATATTCATTATCCTAGTTTGTCAATCATTTTTTCATGGAACATTCACTTTCTATTCCATTTCAGAAATTTTATAATGCAAAAATGAAAACATTTCCATATTAAATATTACAAAATTTCCCAAAATTAGACTAATGGTGCTGTATTTTAAAAATTGCATGCAAAAGTTAGATTTTTAATTGAATAAATGAAACGCTCACACTAAAATCACTGTACCAAAAAAAACTGTCTACGGTTCAAAGGATGTTCCCAAAATACGAGCGAAATTTCCACGCAGAAAATCAATTGGAACGTTTGCGTTTCCCCTTAACAAATTACCTTTCTGGCTCGCCTAGCGAATTAGTTAACAATACACTTGACACCGTTGAACCAGAGTGTACCCGTTAACACAGGTCGACGCTCATAATCGGCTGATTTTCCGGCCAGCTGGTCGGGGCGTTCGCGCGCGAAAAACGGGCGCGAAAATTCAATTTCGAGCCGGTATTCGCGCTGTCGGCGATTTGACGAGCGACAACACAATCTGTCTTCGTTTGCGCGTTTGATACGAACTCCCTGGCTCATCGATGCCGCACCATTGCTCTGGACATACGTCGCCTCCGGAGAAATAATGAAATTTCCCGCTGATACGGGGAATTGTGATTAATGAGACGCGTCCCTCGCGCGTGAAAAACTCGGGTCTACGACGAGATTTCCCACGATGAGCGTAATTCTCGTGCAATTCTCGCCAAACTTGCACTGTGAATCTGATCAATTTCTTATGTTTGCGATTTTTTCTGTTTTTTCATGTGAACTGTGTTTTGGAAAATAGGAAATATTCCGTGGATAAATGTTTGCTGCAGAAATATTGTGTTATAGCGTGTCTGACTGTACCAGACATTGAACCGTTAGCCCAATTTTTGGAAGTGTTAAGAAATAAGAAAGAGATATACTTTGGAAATTTTAATTATTAATAATATTTAGCTTTCCCCATAAAAGAAGAAATCTTCTGGAAGTTTTAATTATTCCAATTTATCAGCGACCAGAAGCTAATTGATTCTTGGTATAAACATTTCCTGTCAAATGATCTTAAACCTATCCAAAAATCCAAGATAATGTTTCTATACGTAGACCCTGTATACATAAGCCCAGTACACGAGATCACTACAAAAGCTCGCATTCTGTCGAATGTATAAAGAGAATGTCGTGTGTAGATCTCTCCCTCTCTGTCTCTCTGGTCGTCGCCTTTGGATCGCTTATTTTCATTTTCTGCTCTTTTCTGGTCGAATGCCCTGCACCCTATCGTTCTCTCGCTCGTCTTTCCGTTTTCGCGCACGTACGCCCGGGCTATCTGACGCGCATACGAGCGAAGCGCGCGTCGTTTCGTCGCGAAAAGAGCGGAGATAAGAAGCCACGGTAAGAGGCTTTCTTTAATGAACACCTCGCCTCTCGCGAAAATATAAGCTCGCTCCGCGACGACGAGATGACCCGAAGCGAGAACTCCCCGGGAAATTCGACGTGCACACTCGTTTATTTAGACGGCCACGCTGAAAAGGGCTAACTGATTACGTTAATTGGTCATTCGGAACTTTTCCCAAGCTTTAATTTTACTTATCTTTTCACCTATGTTTGTATCCTCGTAACAGGCAAATTCATCTCCTTTTTTTATTATAAATTTCTCTTTCTCTTCGTTCATTTTTTCCTATTCTTCTCTTCTATTCCATTCGGAACTTTTTTCAAACTTTAATTTCACCTATTTTTTTTTTTTACCTATTGTTGGTAACGTGGTAATTGGTATTCTCGTTACAAATAAATTTGTTTTCTTTTCTTTTAATTGTAAATTTCTCTTTCTCTTTATTTGGATTCCTTTCGTTTATTTTGTTTATGTGAATTGCAACGATGTTACTGGTATTGGTTGAAAAGAGCTAAATTGTCGCGTTAATTCGTCATGCAGAACTTATTACTTTTTCTTTATTTATTTCATTTATGTAAATTTTAACGATGTTATTAATATCGGTCACATCAGATTCCTGCCTGAACGATGATATTGTACAATTTTTCTGTCGAAGACAACGATCAATGAAAATAACGATCTGTATGAAAAATACTTTTCTGTCATTCGTAGTCTAACGCAGTTTGTAAAAGTGAAGCTTTCGTTAGATCAAGAAGTATATTCTTCGATATTCTATTCGGGTAAGATGAATTTTAAAGAGAGGGATCAAAGTGGCAGAAATTCAGCGGAAACGTTCCCTTTTCTTTATTTCTAATTAAATATCGCAGTGTGACTTTGACACTCGAATTTAAAATTCTGCCAAAACGTCTACTTTCCCTTGGACACGGAACGTGTTAAATTAACTCTATATATTTCGCTAGCTGCAGCGTTTTCTTTACTGCTGCCTCAGTAGGTATAGGCATGATTATGAAGTACCGAAGGTGCACTTTTTTTTTTCCTTTTTAACGAGTGGCACACTTAAAATCAACTGTTAATACAATATTTGCTATTTATCTTATTTATCAATATTGTTACATGCTAAAATAATTTACAATCTCCATTTAATTAACGAATGGAAATTCATTAAATTTATATTTTTTACCTTTGATTTATTTACAATTGACTTTATCTATTTGTATCAGTCTTCGTCAGAAGGATTATTGCAGAAATGATGAGCAATTTCAAATAGAAGTTTAAGCATAATTTCTAATATCTTCTCTGCAGATAAAAGTGGATATAGGCACGCTGGACTTGACGACTTCTATAAATTGGCAAAGTTTTATTAAGAAGTGAGAAGAACAGTTTGAGAACTCTCTCTATTAGTACAGATTTGAAAAGTTATTTTATTTTATTTTCCGTAATAAATGAAAATACGACGTATATGATTTTCTCATACCTAAGGGAAAATATAGTTCATATTTTATAATTATTCTCTTTACAATTAATATGTCAAGTCTACGATTTAGTGTGCTTTTTAAATAAAACAATCATTTTCTTTCTTTATTAAAGAAGAATCGTAAAAAGTCCACGATTTAATGTGCAATATTTTTCCTCGAAAGCCATGTCAACGATAGTCAAATCGATCATCCTCTTTCTAAAACACAAAATTCCCTTTCTTTCTCGAACCTACCAATTAAGAAAACTACGAACACTGCAAGTCGAGAAACAAAAAATTCACGAAACGAAATTTACCTTTGTCGCATTTCCAAACAGAAAAAAAAACACCTATTCTCCCGGTATCGGTAGAAATGAGCAAATATCTGAAGTAGACACACGGTAAAGGGAGCGACCTCGTAAAAATACTTGCTGTGAATGTTCTCTCGTATTCGCCTCCTCTTCAGAAAATGAATATCTTGTTTTCGAGATCTCTAGCTGGCTGGCGCAGACACGAGCCTTTCTAGCTGATAACAAAAGCTTCAAAACAGGTTGGTCTGGGGTGATTACAACGTGGATACAGATACAATTTCCTGAAAAGACAGCGTATTCGAAACTCGAAACACGGAAATTACGAGAAACAAACACTTCCCCTTGGATAAAACGTGAGATAAGGGTAAACGAAAGTTAGTACAATTCGTAACAAATTGATAGCGTAATTAACGAGAAAATCGAGGAATTGTATTTTTGGAGAGTTTCATCAGGCAGTCGTTTTTCTTTCTTTTTTTGTTGACCGTTTCACGTTGAAATTTCGCGAAATTCTGTTTCTCGAAATGGGATCGTGGTACGAGAGTTGCACCGTTAAATAATAACGCAGCAAATTAAGCTCCATGCGCCATGTAATCGCGACACGTTTGCCCCAATCGGCGAGGCAAATGAACTGGACAGTTTTACTCGTGAAATCACGGCGATCGAGTTTCTGTTGTTTCGTGTAAAAACCTGGATTAACGAGCTGGAATGATTGAGCCAGTTAAGTATAGGGTTACGTGTCTGTAACGCGAGTATGCAAAGTGTGAAATTCGGTCGAAGAATTTTGAATTTGGACGCACTCGGTGTGCCTCTCGGTTTGCAGTTTATCAAACGACTGAATAAATGAACAGTGACCGAGGAAATATTATTTGTACCTTTTACTTGCTTATTAAATAAAATATCGTTAAATAAAAAGAAAAAGGACAGAGTAAATAGAAGAAAATTATTTTCGTTTAATTTAAGCGCAATTTCAATATTTTGTTTAAAAATTCTTTCGAAATTTGCTATTACTAATAAATAAAAAAGAAACACTTTCGTTCAATTTGAATTCAGTTTCATTATTTCGCTTAAAAATGATTTAAAAGTCAGTTATTAGGATTAAATGGGGAAAAAATTATTTTTCCCTAGTAAATTCGGAGTTTTAACATTGCTTTTATTCATTTTTATTTTATATGCTGTGCCTTTGTATAAAAGTTTTATGAAAACAATGAATTTTATTCAATTAGACCGAATTTTTACTCAAACATCTGTTCCATATTACTGATCGATATTTTTTGTTTGCAACAACAAACATTACTGTATAACAGTGGCCAATATTTCTTCTATATAACAGCAAATGTGTATACAGGGTGATACGAGAGTAATGGAAGGAAACATTTGAAATTCGTGTTAAAAACTTTCTTTTCAAACGAACTCGAATAACTGACAGTCGAAACGCAGTATGTACAGGCACAATGTTGTTTCGTTTCGTTCGTTATGGACCACTGTTATCACCATATACCTTACAATGTATCTATTGTGATAAAATAGAGTTCTCCTTTCAATCACGGTAACTGATTGTTATTTTCACTTTCTTTTTTTCAACGTTGATTAAATTTATATTGCACCACTTTTGTGTCGGTCTGTGTATTAAAAGTCAATGTCGACTGGAAAATTTCAAAAAAATTTCTACCGGCGTAAGTTGAATTAAATAGGCGGGAATTTTGAATTTTAAACACTTGGCCGATCATTCGCTCGGTTTGCAATAACACGTCGCTCGGTGTGTTCCAGGTCGTAATCGGAAATTATGAGGTGGCTGTGGATTATCGTCTTAATAGCTGTGGCTCTGCCAGCTGCTGTGCCAAGGAAGACGCATCGCAGCAAACCGAGTAAGTAACATTTATTTCAATCCTTTCGATTTTCCTCTCTCTCTCTCTCTCCTCCGTTTCTTTGTCGAGAAACAGTTTCCACTCGCGGGGATCGTTGAGGCTGACAAAACGTGACATTTCTGTGAAATTTTCCGGTTTTTCTGCTGAAAACGTTTCGAATGTTTCTCATATCCTATCTCGAAGATATTCAAATTATTTGCGAAAATACAGAATAGATGGTGTTACAGTTTCTGGAGATGTTCGTAGTGAATTGTTTGAAATTGTTTGTTTTCTCGGCGAAGAGATTAATATTAGTCGTGTATTATTGGAAACACTGAAATTTTCATTTCGAATTATAGAGTATTTTTTTATTTTCTTATTGATACCAGAATAAAATTATTGATTGAAAAAAAAAAGGACTACAGTTGCCCGTAGTAGCAAAAGGGTTAAACAGAGGAAAAGTGTAAAATAAAAATGATAAAAAACCTATGCAAGTGTGCAGTTTTAATATTCATAGCTCGCGAAAAAAATTGCAACACTTAAAATTGGAATTACACAAATCTAGGAATCACGTATATTACTTAGGCTACTCTAAGGGAAAAGACTGACCTGTTTTAACCAAATTTTGATCATTTTCCCATCAAATGTCCCAAAGAATGCACGTAAATTTCAAAAAATTGACTTTGCAAAAATCTAGAAATCACATATATTTTTTAAGCCACTCCAAGGAAAAGACTGACCTGTTTTAACCAAATTTTGATCATTTTTCCCTTTAAACACCCCAAAGAATATACGAAAATTTCAGATTTATGCGATTTCGTTTTTCAGCTGTTGCAACTTTATTTTATCATGCAGTTTAATATTGAACATTTTTTTCCAAGCTACGAAAATATCGATATCAGTGGGCATATATTATAATACACCAAGAAAGCTGCGCAAAGTAGCCTAGATTTTTTTTCACGAGTTTCCTTATAACCATAGGAAGTCAGAATGTGTTTCTCGAAGGTTGCACCGGCATTCATTATGCACACCTGTTACGACCGCTCTAAACTTCATCGTCCCTAATTTCGGGTGGCCGGGGAAAAAGCACCGATATAAAGTCGGTATAAACAATGCTCCGGGAAGCCGTGTGCACGCTGACAATTCAAGCGAGCACAGTTACTTTGAGAATTCCATAATCTCCGAGTGAAATTTATGCGAGGAAAGGGAGTGCACAGGGTTGTGAAAAGAATCGCAAATTTTTTCTTGAGAAATTCTGCAAAGACTGTCTGATTTTTTGTGTAAACAAACTAGATGTCTGTTATTTATATGGATTATTTTACCAGAAGAGAAATTAGTGTATGTAATGTATGTGCTTTATTGTTTTCCCTTCGGGATTACAAAGTCCCGTTTCTATTCTTATCTTATCATATTCTTATTCTAACTCCTGTCTACATATTATACTTTATTTATTATCTATTATCTATACTTTGTTGCACTATCCTTATGCTCTCCATCTCACCGGCTAATCTTCCTTCTTTGGCCCTGTTTCCATTTGTTTCCTCTGCTCCCTCCTTTCCCTCTTCCGCCCTTTAAACCCGTTCTCTCCTTTCCAGGTTAATCATCCGCTAGAAGAGAAATTAGTGTGATTATTGAAAGAAAATAATTTGGCATTTGTAGCAGTTAAACTCACAGATGTCTAGCTAAAATTAGGTGAGATATTCTCGTATCGTTAAATTAAAAGGAATTCGAGCAAATGAAATTGAAAAACATATAGTTACAAATTTTTCACATCTTCGTTCACACGTGGAAATTTGATTTAAAGCAATCACAGAGCAAAACGATAAAATTAAGATAATTTTTGAAATTAATTTTGATGCTACGATTGTGAAATTCTTTTCAGTAAATATTGTTGACAATTTATATTCGAAGCTGTTGTTAAAAGCGATAAAATCAAGATACTGTTTGAAATGAATTTTCACGGTGCGATATGGAATTCTTTCCGATAAATATCGTCGATAATTTATATTGTAATATTTTATAAGAATTTTTCTTTACGCGAGTACGTTTCATTTAAACATATGTAACACACCGTGGCGTTGTATATTTTTGTTATTCGGTATAAAACAATTTCGTAGAAGCCTGCGTATGCATATATAATTGAATAAAGGTGGACATATCTGCCTCGATGACAGGCTTCGTGAAATATGTGCTCGATGTGTCGCGTTAAGTTTAGATAGGATGGAACAATGTATCGAGAATTGAACGTAGAAATCGAGTCATCTGTATTAATAAAAGAACGTCGATAATACGGAGAAAGCATTGGAAAATTAATAACGTTGTTTCTATTAATACGTGCAAGCTTGCACCGTAAAAAGTCGGTGGAAAATTGAAATCGTTGGTACGTATTGTTTCATGAATAATAACGATTTTATTTCGAATTAATTAAAGATTCGTTCAACTTTGATAGTTAACTATGAAATGAAAAATTTGTTCAAATAATCATTGTTGGGCGTTGAAGTTTCCGAAACATCGTTTATTGCCATATTATTTAGTATCACATCACAAACGTTCACATTGTCGATTTTTCTCGTAACATGAAAACATTGTGACTTAAAAAATATACATTTTCATCGTAGCACGACGTACGGAGCAAACGAAATGAATATGTCTGAAAAAAATTTCCCAAAAACTGTTCAAACTTCTATTAGGATGAAAAAACTTACCTTCGATTTTCACGAAAAATCAAATCGCGCGAGCCGAGCGAAATGAACGGGAACGAAAAAATTCACAGGAAAGTTGTTCAAACTTTAATATGTAGATGTAAAAACTTGTCTTTGATTTTTATTAAAAATCAGTATAGGAGCTGAGAGAAGATTAAATGAAATAATTCCTTGTAAAATTGAAGCGAAAGATTCTTCGAGAGAAAATAATTCTTGGCGAATTTTGCAAATTTTCAAAATATAGGAGAGAAAATAATTCTTGGCGAATTTTTTAAATTTTCAAAATATAGGAGAGAAATTATAATTCCTCGAAAATTGCCAGAATTCACTCGTGAAAATTCACCGTCTCGCGATATTAATCAAAATTTCCACGTTTGTTCCGCGAAATTCTGTTCCAAGAAGAATACGGCTAAACAGGGAAAGCACTTCTTCGAAAATTGCCAGAATTCACTCGTGAAAATTTGTTTCGTGTAAGCGTTTCGTATACACCTCTCGCGAGAGGTACCAAAGACACTCGCCACGCGTAAACTCAGCAGCTTTAACCTGGTCGAAATGTTAAATTAGGGTCAGAGATTGTTAGGGACCCGGAGATTTTATCAGGACACGCAAGTGGATAAACATCTGATCCCCGGACGGTAGTGGGTCGCCGCGATAAATTAGGGTTGCGAGTAATTTACAAGGAGATCAAGCTGTCGTTGATTACAATCTGAGCCGGCTGGCTGCGAACGACAATCCGGATTGGTCGATTCGGGAACGAGGCTTCATTCGCGGATAATTTGCGATCATTCGCGGGATACCATGGATTAATGTCTTGGAGGAGATTGGGTTTGTTATTGGACCAGGTTTCGTCGGTGGATGGATAGGCTTGGTTTCTTGTTTTCATGGCTAGGATTTGGCTTCCGTTCTTTTTTCTTAAATCATTATGGATTGCGAGGTGAAATTATATTGATTTCAAAATATGAAATTTAACGTTGAACAATTACTATACATATTGTTATACCGTATTTCGATGTTACAAAAATTTGAATATGTGAAATATGTTACCGATTGAAAAAGTAGAGAAGTGTTAATACGCATCAGACTCGAATTTTTGTAGGAGTAATTGAGTACAAGATTGAATATTGTAAAACACGCTGATTCTACTGGAACAAATTTTAACAACAAATGAGATGTTCAGATCAGCGAAAATCATGAAATTTTATGAAATTTTTCAAAATTCATTTATGAAAATAGTAAAATGCAGAAACCATAGGAAAGAAGGAAAATTTATTTACGACTGGCAGGAAATTTCAGACGACTCAAAATTCTGAACCGTAAGAATGGTAAAATTGCAAAAATCCACGAAAACCATAAGGAAGAAGGAAAGTCCGTTTATAGTTGACCGAAAGATCGATACGAAACCTGTTTCATAATTTCCAAGGAATTTTTTGCCCGATGACGGCGGAGGGGAAGTGTTGATCGGTAGACTTGCGGCAAAATGCTGCTGATGTGGAGAAATCTCGGCGGCTCGTTTGAACGGCAGCTGTCGTCGGAAATCTAGCGACGAAAGAAACTCGACGCCCATCTATATTTACTCGAGGCGGAAGTTAGCGAACTATGACGTGAGTAATATCACCACTGTCACGTGGATCGAGTCGAATTTTCTTCGCCATTAATCAACGAAAAATTCCAGCACTCTTGGCTGAAACACACATTGGTTTTCTATTGATTACGTTCTTATGACATAGAGTGGTTTCATTGATTTTTCTTAGTGAACATTCAAATTGTTATAAGTCATCGAAATTCTTCCAATTTCCAAGCTTTTTCGTTATATGGAAATTTTTCGAATTTCCAAATTTTCTCATTATATCAAAGGTTTTCGAATTTCCAAATTTTCTCATTACATGGAAATTAGATCAGTACTTCAAATGTACCTTTAAATTTTATGAATTTTACTCCTCCCACTTTTGAAATACGAACTCACTGGAATATACTTAAATTGCCAAGAAAAATAATTCTAAACTAAATAATTTCGCTTCTCAAGGAAAATAATTATTCCCATTTGAAACACTGAAAATTACTTCGAAATGTAGTGAAAAAGAATGAATAACTTCTCGTTTCTCCAAAATAACTAATTTCAGGAAAATAATTTGTAGGAATCTTAAGCTTAGGAAAAAGGCGGAGCGGTCGAGGATATATAAAACTACGGTTAAAGGAGAGGGTGTGTATCGTACTATGTTTCGACTGTGACTGACTGCAGGCATAGTTTTCGCCGGCGATGGGTATTTTCCCATTTTTATGACTCGCCGTCTGGTCTATGTCCCAAGTGCCTTCACGCAGTCCCGTATCGCACTCAACGCTTAAACAAACTCTCGATTTACAATACCGAGAGATCGGCTCTCAGTACGACAGAATTTTTTGAAACACTGAAAATGACATTGAAACACAGTGGACAAAAATAACAGGAAATGATCTCATTAGTAAATTATAATTCGTCCAACTCTTTCGTTGATCAATTAATTTCCGTGAGAAAGTAATTCACGGGGCCATAAAGGCGATCGATCAGTCATACTTTTCGTCCGTACGTGTTCACTGACACACTGACGACGTATTCAAGCGAATTAGAGTGCCTGTTAGGATAACTTCGGAAAGTAGAGCGAGCTATACACGTGGAATAGTGGACAAAGAGTGGAAAAACGATGTAGAATGTGAAAAGAGGACGACAGAGCTGGGACACGCTGTGGAAGAGAGCATACGAGAAAGAGGCTGGAGAAGATTTGAAAGCAAACAGGTGATTTCGTTGGGAAAAAATGTTGATTCTGAGGATATGTGGCTGGTCGAAGTCTTGGAGTCTCGTTGCATTCACGATTTTTATCGGATTCGAGATCTCGAAAATTCCTCGACACATGCATTTATGTACTGAACCATGCCTCGAGTTGGTATTTCGTCTAATCGATTCTCTTATTAAAATTTCCCACTTTCGTAACTCTTATCGTTTCCTCTATTTTCAAACCATTTTTAATTCCCTCCTCTTTTAGTGGCTCTTAATGTAATTTATTTTTGACAATTTTCATATCACTGCATTCATAAATGCCTTTGAAATCATTTTCATGCATTAATTAACACAAGATTTTCATATCAGCAATTCTTCTGATTTTCAACGCGAAATTTTTCTATTTCTCAGAAATTAGTTTGCAAGTATGAAATTAATAATTTTACACCTTGATGGTGTCTGTATGAATGACGTGAAATGAATATTCACACAGTAGAATGAATCTTTTATTTAATAAGGTGTGCAGATATTAACAGAGATTTAATTGAAAATTTTTACAATTTACAATTTCTATACAATCCATTCAATTGTTCGTTAGTAAATCTGAACAGATAATAAATCTGTTAATGTTATTCATCTCAACACCTGATTTTCTCGTGAAATTGAATTTTTTAATGGAACACCAACAGCACTGTGTCGAGGGTGAAAAAATTTTCAATTAAAAATTTCATTTATAACACGTAAGAATAAGAAAGATGGGATTTCTGTTTGCTCTGTTAATGGACTACTCGATAAAGTAATCGGAAAAGGTTCTCGGACAGAAGGATGGTCGGTGTTACGAAAATTCTCCCCGTTCGAAGGAGCCCTTAATTAGACGTTGAATTTGTGGAGAATGGAAATACCGTGAGAATGGTGGAAACTTTCTAATGGAGATCGCGGGAGGTGTTAGCACGGAAATACTGGGCGAAATACGAGGGTATTTCGAAGTCCAGGAATTAGAATGGCCCAGATGATCGTGTAAAACCTACTCTGTAAGACTTAATGTGTTCACCGAAATAATTACAAGAGATGTAATTTTCGAGATATTAGAAATTGTCGTGTGTGCATTTGCATAAGTGTTAGGTACATTGTAGTTCGTCGAACGAGGTGTTTAATGAATATTTTAATGCATATTCTTCGGTTTAATATTAAGTTGAATAGAGAAATATTTGTTGCATTTTTTTTTTTTTTTTGAGTATGAAGCTAAGGTTGGAATATTTCAAGTTTCAAAAATTACAGTGCTCTAAAATCAAAAGTTTACAATTTGAATTTGGGGGGATTTGAAATTGGAGGATTTAAAATATAAAAATTCTTTCTTCCTTAGAATGTACGTTTTCAAGAAAATAAATAATTGTACAGTATTCTGGAAGGTCTACAATTATTATAAGTATATATCTGAGAATATCTACAAATTGATTCCCAATTGTTATAATTTTTAATAACAAAATGAGACGAATAATTTTAATCGACAGAAATTTAGGATCCAAACTCATTTGACTTTTATCAGAATCTTACACTAAATAAACCTCTTCTTCTTATCTTTCACCAAATCACCCTTATCTTTCATTAATACAACTAATGAAACACTCGCAGCAATTAATTATAAGAACAAAATAACTGTTTTATTTAAAAAAGAAAGTAGGAGTTTTGAAATACTTTTGACATTGCTCCCAAATTTTTGTAATTTTTAATGAAACAATTAGACGAAGAATTTTAATTTGTAAAAATCTAGGATCCAGACTCTTTAACTTATCACAAGTTGACACTATATAAACACTCTGCTTGTCTTCCACGTTTCTTCATTTCACAGAATAGCAATTTCTGAATATTTCTGATACATTTCACCTCCTAATGTTGAACTCATCCTAACAATTAGTCTGTTCTCGCGACACTAACGCTCGAAATTACGCCACTAATTGCTCGAGCAGTGACAGAGTTAAGGTAACGAACGAGATTTTTACGAGTACTCCCTTGTATCAGCTATTAGTCGGTAAAGCTCGTTGCACGTGTGGCTTTACGAACACGTTCTATGGAAGGCGAAATAAAAAATGATTGCCCGTTCAGATCCAGTGGTGTAGCGCGTTTTTATAAAGACCACCTTTCTGTACGATTGTTAAATGTTAACCGGATAAAAATTGCACAAGAACAACCGGTGTTGCGCGGTTTAATAGGCGTGTAACAAAGTGGTTGTTCCCTTTAAAACAAGTGTGAACGATTGCTGTATCGAAAAGAGCCACACTGTAGATTTGTTCGATAAAACGAAGCTTTTGTTCCTTCCTTTGATAACGAATCTTACGTTTATTCATTTGATAATGAAATTCTTTTTCCCGTGCCTCTCCTTTGTTCCTTTCGTAGAGAATATGAAGAAGTTGAATTTGAAGCTTGAACTTTGAACTTTGAAATAATTCATATCGTGTATGAATTTTCTGAAATATTCTGGAATTTATAAGAATCTTTTTGAAGTATTCTGCAATTTATCAGAATTTCTTTGAATTATTCTGGAATTTCTAAGTAAAAATTGTTTCCACATTTCCTCGAGAACAGAAAATCTGACTGAATTGTCGAAATTGTAGGATTAAGTACGTCGAGAATTATTACAAGAAATATGCTAGGATAATTGGATGTTATTTTTGAATTAACCGAAGCTTTCACATTCGGAGGATTGTACTTTAAGAATCTGCTCGAAATCACAGTTCTCTTTATCCTTTCATAAAATGGCCATCAAAGAAACGTCAGAACAAAGTAGCCGGCATAAATCCAAGTAATATCTGAGCTCTTTCAACGCATCAAACGGTTTATGATCAAGTGCTTCCAAGTTTTTATTAAGGCTAAGGATGGATAATTGAAAGAGTTCCATTACACGGCTACAAAAGCTGAAGAACTGGTAATACGCGAAAGAGATTTAATTGTAAGTACGTTTCCTTACCTTTAGTTTGGCTATTTTAGAATTTTGTTATTTTATATTGTAAATTTCCATTTGTCGTATCACGGTGTGCTGAGAAATATTGAAAATTTGATGGTATAGTGAAAAGTCAAAGATATATCTAAAATAGGAAAGTGAAATCAGAGATAGGAATTGTTTTAAGTGGATAAAAATAACAAATTTAACAAATTGGTATCTTTACCTTTTGAAAAATTAATTTTTTGCTTAATTCTAAGTTCCAGCGTATTCGAAAAATAACATAAACATTATGCACACTGTGAAATTTAAAATAGAACAGATTTCAAGCTTCAAATTCGAGAAAGAAAGATGCCCAAACTATCCATCTCTAATTTCTAACAAATTTCTCTATAGATCAACAATAACTAACAATTCTTCAAAATAGATACTACAAAAATTCATATCGATCCTTTACTTTCCATTTCACGTAATTTATTCAAATTTTATTTCAGCAATTTTCAAGGAAATGTGGAAATAATTTTTGAAAATTGATTTTTTTCAAATTCTTCTAAGTTCCAGAAAGTTCCAAATTCCATACTGCAAAATTGAAAAAATGAAACAAATTTCAAGCTTCAAATTCACTTACCTTACGCTTTCTAATCGTCTCTAATTTCTAACAAATTTCTCCATAGAGCAGTAATAGCTGACAATTCTTCAAAATCTCTCCTCTCATAATTCGTCCCAATTTTCCCTCACGAAATCTTATTGCACGTCGCGGTCAAATACGTTATTTTCATTTTTATCCCTTTCTCGAGCGTGCACCAACGCAAATATCCGGAGTACAAAGACCGTTTGAAACGTTTCCTCGTCCGCTATTAGGACGAACGTGTTTCCGTGTGACGTTCCGTCTGTTTTTCTCCGTTGGTCGAAGCGGTCCACGAAATGCAGGATCATGGAGCACAGGGTAAAGGGTATGAAAATAGAACGTTATTGCCCCGTTTGGAGTTGGCGGTGCTGTCGATATTATTCCCCTTTAAAGCGGACACTTGTTCCGCCGGGGGAGAAATGGAAGGAAATGGAGCAACGCGTGCAAAGAGAAAGGGAGGGAGTTTTATTGACAAGGAATATCGGTTATCGAGACGTTGTTGAGAGGAACGTTTGCCTTTGCTTTCAGCACCAAGGTTGTACGGGGACAGGGTGCCTGTCAAGCTGCTTAGGACGAGCAACACCAAGGTCCGACAGAAGATCGTCGATACGCACAACTACTTTCGCACTCAGGTCAAGCCTCCAGCGGCTAATATGCTCGTGATGGTAAGTTTCTTGTGATTTTACTGTTTAACCCTTTCGTTAGAGAAGAATTCTTTTTTTTATCTGTCGATCGTCGCGTCTGCAAAGCTGTATACTAGTTTGAGATGAATTTTTGGTCACAAAAAAATTCGGACAGTATTTAGAATATTGTAACTTTTTTAAAATTGGTCTTGAGTTTTTTCGAGAAGTTAGAAGGATTAGTGTACTATTTAGACAACGTGTGGAAAAAATTTGGAAAAGATTGCAATTTGTGGGAATCGTGAAGAAAGCTGTACAGGTTATTGTTTATAACGTTTTTATCTGAGCTTGTAATGAAAATTTAAAACATACGTTTTGTAGATTTGTGTTAATTATATACATGTTGAAAATTTCATGGAAATTGGGTGATGGAGAAACAAGCGGCAGGCATCGAAAGATGTAAGAATCTTCTGATTTATTACAGATAGAGGCCGAAAATCGTGAAATAGTGCGATTTTCACAATCGCAAATAGTAACTGATTTCGAGGTTAATATAGAGGTTTGACGATAAGTAGAGATAAAACGAGGGATAATTTAATCTTTTATTAAATTTGTGAGTGATTTTGAAAAGTATGGAATTATTTCTAAACTTGATCCTTTAAGAATCACACTGAAGCATAGGTTTTAATATAAGTTAACAAAAATATAATACACTGTTTATTATTAGAATAAATTAAAAGTGACAATATTTCAGGATCTAAAAATGATTCTAAAAAGAAATTTTTAAAATGAATATGGAATTATGAATTTGGACATTATCAAACATAAGATAACAGAAATAGTTTGAAGAACAATATACTAGTTTCTTAAGTTGACATCACGAATTGATTAAGTCGAGTACAAAGTTAAAGCAAGAAGTCGGTAATTGTTACTTGCACCCGGTGCAATTGACTTTACCGTACACCATTTTAATTGAAAATTTTAGATTAGTTTGTACAGCGATCCTGCGATTAACGGGTTTAATTGCAACCGAGAGGTGGACCGGTTAAATTAAGATCTTGAGGAAGACGATTAAAATTATATTTACGTACGAAATGATTACCTCATAGAGCACCCCTTCACAATTTTTTCGCTTAAGTGGTGCTTCATTATTTCAAGCATTCTTTAAATACTATCAATCTTATTTCTCCTCTAACAATGTTCCATAAATTGATCCAACCAAATCTGCATAAATTTCGTTCCAAATGTTCCATGTTCATGTCACAACCCAATTTTCTTTAAAATTTCAATACCAAACATTTCAAAATTACAATTAACATTAAACAAAAATACAAAACACAAACTCAGAATTCCAGAAATTTTATTCTTAAGATTTCTCATTCCCTAATCCTTCCCACCTTTCAAACCTTCACACAACCACTATCGTCAATATAACATTGAAAACGGCTCATGTAATATCATCAGAAACAACAGAATCCACAGAAACACGTATTTCCTATACGTATTCTCTATTAAATTAACCAAAAGTTCAACCGCCCGTAGCTCCGAAACTAGCAACAGCAGCTCCTCGTAACGCACACCGTAGGCGGCAGTAAACCTTCCTCTTTAACCTGCTTTTTGTTTCACGTCGATGCGACTTTTCATCTCCGAGATATCGTCGTTCGAAGCGAGGCATAATTTTCAGCGTTCCGCTATCTCTCTCTCTCTCGCACACTCGGACCTCTCACTCGCACACCCGCGTACTGACCTATCCCAAGCGCGGCACCTGTGCGCTGGTCAGCGACAGACGCTGAGTCAGCGGTTCTCTTACTACTACTACCACCGGTACTAGCGTACGTACGCGTTTCCAGGAAAAAAAGTGGGTCACGGCGTTTCCAAGAATTTCGCCCGCCATTCATCTTTGGCGCGGCCGTGCATTTTAAGCGGTGCACTTTGGGGCCTCGTATCTCCGCTCCTAGTAGAGATATCGACGTGAAACAAACTGCGTTACCAAGGTTCAGATCTCCTTTATATATTGGAATTGTTTTCGTGATAATGTTGTTCCAGTTTTTAGTCGTATTTGTCGGTTACATTTCGACGATTTCAGCTGGTTACGTTGCAATTTTACGTTGTTTGAGAATTATGTCTATGTTGGTGTTGGTTGGAGGTGGTATAGGTAAGTTACAGGTGTTGAATAATACATTGGCAGTTTTGTCGGAGCTTGAAAAACGTGAAAGTTTTTTGTAGGGCGGTTTTACTTTTCTTTTTCCTTTCTTTTCAAGGGTTTCTCGGTCGTGAGAGAAATTTGTTTCGTTTAATTGTTCTTTGTTAGTTTCATGTTTTTGGTAGTAACAATTTTACCGTTCTGCAGCAATTTGCTATGTTTCTGACAATTTTTTGTGTCTAATTAAAATAACAACGTCGTTAATTTATAGCTGTAGGTGTGATTATTGTGACTATTCATACCTTTAAACAACCAATATTCTACAATCCCAGAGCTTTTACAATTAGCGACAAATCACGTCTGCAAAAAGAAGAATAATATAAAACTCAGATTCATTCCCTTATTTTTAATATTTACATAGTTATTACCATGGCACTAATTTTAACTTCCATACTTATATCATACAGACTAAACACTATAATGGTTAGAGTCAATATGAATTATTTAATAATATGGGACCAGCACAATATTTTTCAAACTAATAGCTTGCTCTGACTTACAAAAAAACACCACACAAGCAAAAGCAGTGACTGAGATTAAATCATTATAGATTTATTTACATCTACCTTTCTTTTTTCTCATTTAGGATGTTTCTTATAGTAATTGATACATCGAAATTTGAAGTTTTCCAAACTGTACGCTACCAAAATTTTCTTTTAAATACACTTGTAGCAGAAAAGGAACTTTGAACGAAGCTCGAGCTCCTTATCTCATCCAAACTGATGTTTCGCCAATCGGATTTCACGTTCTTTCACGCCTGTCTGATTTTACTACCTCACTCCAGCTCCTCCCATAAAATATACACGATTTTTCGTCCTAGAAAAATAGTTCCTCGTCTCGCTTGGTTTACGCGGACCTGTAACACAAGGTCATAATCCTGAAAGATGCACGATAGCTACGTGTATCGTTCTATATCCTTCGTCCAGCCTTTTCGAGCGTTCCAAATTTCCATCGATTTCACCTGGATTTCTCGCACGGACGAAATCCCGCGACGCGAATTTCTCGTCGGTAATTTTCGAACACTCCCCTGGATAGAATCGACGCGGATTCTTTGGGATTCCTTTCCATGGAAATTACGTTCGATTGCGTTTAATGCGATCAGCTCGACGAGATTTTCATTCTCTAGTCTGACAAAGAGAGAGAGAGAGGGAGTTTCTCGTCGCGTAATGGTGTTTCTATAGTGTGGACAGCGAAACGAGGAACTCGTTTCATGGTCGCTGGTAATTTCGACGGGTTAAAGAGGGAAGTTTTGGGTGAAAATTGGGAATGGTGATGAAGTGATTAGGTAAATTGTTGATAAGTATTTGAGTGCACTGAGAGATATATTTCGAGGCTAGAAAGATGGAAAATTGAAGATCTGTTAGGATAAATTTAAGTGTTATGTGAAATATAGAATTGTGAATTTTTTATTTTTGAGAGACTATAGGCAGAGTGTATTCCAAGCTTTTTTAAATTGAAAGTCTGTTAGGATAAACTTAAGTGTTATACGAAATATACAATTGTGAATTTTTAATTTTTGAAAAATTATAGACA